ATAATTATAAAGTGCTCCGAAAAGCCCGTATGGGCCCTGACGAGCGTGTTATTGGTTCACACGTGACGCCTAGGGATGCTACGCAGGTCAAATGGTTAGTCCAAGTTTGAGCCCGATCCTTCTATGCGGGTAGATGGGAGTTGACACTGCTTGAACCATTAAATAAATATGCGGTCGTGAGGTCGGCCGGGATATTTATTTTATATATTCATATTTGGCCATCAATAATGAAAACTCACCAATAAAGCCATGAAGTCTACGAAACCTGATCCTTTGTCGGCAAACTGAGAGAGTCGACAGGGTTCAATCAACAAAGGAAAGTAAACCCTTTCACCCTGATGATGGCTGTGTTGAATGTAGATCTCAACTGGATGGGTTAATTTCAAATATCTTCAAAATGCCACCCAAATACCTATGAAATTCAAAGCTCCAAAGAATCCAAAAATCATTTCAAAGTCTAGATATTTAAAATTGAAATCCAATCATTAATCACTTAAAACAAAATCCATTCACCCTTTGCAACAGTTTGTCGAGGTTGACAAAATTAAAATTTACTTCAGCCCATATAGAGTTATTGCCTGGTCAAAAATATTACTAGGATTCATTCTCAAATAATCTCCTGCCAGTAAGGACGTCGTACATATTCTCTGACCGGCAGTTTTGCTGCCAAATGGCACCGCAGGATAAATGATTATGACCCGGGGCCCTCTGAACCGATTGATTTTGCCGCCAAATGACACCACAGATACCGATTATGTCCAGAGTCAATATGTTCCTTAGTGGCATCAAATCCTTGAGATATGAATCAATAAGATATAATCGATAAGACATAAAGCCCTCTGTTAGCTAAGGTGGATTCAAATTTGTCTCCTTAGACAAACACCTACCCCCAGGTCTACAAGGTACCTTTGGATGAAGCAACCCATGACTGCTGATAAGGATCCTTTTGTTAGGTTGGGTCAACTACCTCTTATGACTAAGTAGACCAGGGACCACGATGGTCCGGGATGACAGAATCATGGGATCTTGATCGGGTCTGTCATCCATTCCCCTACCATCCGCTTTAAGTGCAAGATGGTGAAATTTTCAATTTTAAATATAAAACCTTCAAATTTCTAAATACCCATGCTGCTACTATATACTAGATAGCACATATTTTCTACTTATCTGATTGACGACTAGCCTTAATCGAAAGTTCTCTCTCATGACCGAGAGGAGTAGTTAACTATAGGGGCTTGTGCCTATCGGAAACCAGAACTCAGATCATAAAGTACTTGCAAAATGAGGGCGAAATCTCTGGGTAGTGTCTTATCTACAAACCCATTTGCCTTCCAAAATTTACCCCAGAACTTAATCCGTTAAAACTCCCCCGAAGAAAAAGTACAGCGGGTGGAGGCCAAGGTCGAATTTTGGAGCCCACAGGATAGAAAATAAAAAATAAAGTAAAACAATTTTTAGGATTAGATATGGGGCATTTAAAGAATATTAACAAAAGTATTTTTGAGAGTAAGATTTTAGATATTAAGATTTTGTTTGTGCATGAAGGTGCTATTGTTATATGGGAAAAAGTGACTAGTGATATTAAGACTATTGCAAAAATGTGCTTAGAGTTTCAAAGGGAAAAACTCCTAATAGTAAAAATAGTTGGTGGTTGAATTCAAATGTGCAAAAAAAGATAAAAAATAAGAAGATTTGTTATAAAAATTGGTTTAGATGTAAAAATTTTGATAATTGGAAAATTTATAAAGATGCTCGTAAGAAATCTAAGATAGTGATTTGCAATGCAAAAGGCTTAGCTTTTAATGATTTCTATAATAGGTTAGATACTAAGGAGGGAGAAAGATGTATGTATAAGTTAGCCAAACAAAGTTATAGGAGTAGTAAGGATTTAATTGAAGTGAAGTGTATTAGGGAAGAAGATCAAAAAGTACTTTTTTAAAAGATGATATTCAACAAAGGTGGATGAGATATTTTGCTAAACGTTTTAATGAAGAATGTGATAATACGATTAACTTTAGTGACTTTAGCATTCTAAATGAAAATAAAGAATTTTGTTTTTATCGGCGTATTAGTAAAAACAAAGTTAGAGAGGCTTTAAAGAAAATGAAGTGTGGAAAAGTTGTTGGACCTGATGATATTCCAATAGAGATGTGGAAATGCTGGGCTTACTAAACTTTTTAATACTGTTTTGAAGACTAAAAATATTTCAGATCAGTGGAGAATGAGTGTGTTAATTCTTATTTTTAAGAATAAAGGTGATGCGCAGGCGTGCGAATTATATAGGAATTAAGTTAATGTGTCATTTAAAACTATAGGAGCGAGTTATGGAGCATAAGTTGTGGCGTCATACTAATGTTTCTCAAAATCAATTTGGATTCATGCTGGGTAGGTCTACTATGGAAGCCATATATTTATTGAGAGCTTTGATGGAGAAATATAGAGATAATAAGGAGGATCTACCTGTGATATTTATTGATTTAGAGAAAGCATATGATAAAGTTCTAAGAGAAGTGTTATGGGGAGTTCTTGAAAAGAAAGGAGTCAATAACGCTTATATTCAAATCATTAAAGATTTGAATGTAGGAGCTATTACTTGTGTTCAAACACAAGGTGATTTGACCAAGTAATTTCCTATTTTGATTGGATTACATCAAGGATCAGCCTAAAGTCCATATCTTTTTGCTTTAGTCATGGATGCTCTCACTATACATTTGCAAGAGGATGTATCTTGGTGTATGTTTTTTGCTGATGATATTCTTCTTGTTGATAAGACTAGAGAGGGAGTTGAAGGTAAACTTGAATTATGGAGGTCAACCTTAGAGTCTAAAGGTTTTCACTTAAGTAGATCTAAAACTGAATATATGGAGTGTAATTTTAGTAGCAATAGACTTAGTGAGGGGATTGCGACTTCGATCAAGTCATTATTAAGAGTACACATTTTAGATATCTTGGATCTATTGTTCATAGTGATGGTGAAATAGATGGGCATATCATCAGCAGAATTAAAGTTGGATGGTTGAAGTGGAGGAATGCATCGGGCTTGTTGTCCGATAGAAAAGTCACTCTCAAACTTAAGGGAAATTCTATAAGATGGTGGTGAGACTTGTAATGTTCTATGGCGGTGAATGTTGGTCATTAAAAGAGAAGCATAATACTAAGTTAAGTGTTGCAAAGAACAGGATGCTTAGGTGAATGACTGGCTTTACCCTTAGAGATAGGATCCGAAATGAGCATATACATTATAAGGTTGGAGTAGCTCCAGTGGAAGATAAGATTAGAGAGAGTCGCCTTAGATGGTTTGGTCACATTAAACGGAGGCCTTCCGGTGACCCGGTTAGGAAAGTTGAGGTATTATATTTGACTTATGTTAAGAAAGGTAGAGGTAGACCTAAAAAGATATGGTTAGAAATATTAGAAATGATCTTTCTTTATTAGATTTAAATGAAAATTTGACTTTTAACAGGACACAATGGCCAAAAAAAGATTCATGTAGCCAACCCCACGTAGTGGGACAAAGGCTTGATTTTGTTGTTATTGTATTTAATGGATATTTTGCAACTCTGTCATTAAATATAGATTGCATCCCTCAGTCCCAAGGTAGCATTAGAGCAATGGAATTGTGTGCAATAGTGCTATTGTATATGGTGAGAAAACTTGTGACATCGATGTATTCATGGGAGTATGAAAAAATAAGAAATTGGAAGTCAAAGGAGCATGAAAAGAATAGAATTTGGAAATACTTCTGTTTAAAAAATTAGGAAGTAAAGAAAGAGAACACCAAGAAAAAAAAATCCTGAAGCTTTGATACATGACGAGAATTGAAGAATAGTTCAGCACAATATTTGTAAGAGAATTGAAGAAAAAAGCTTCAGGACAGGCGAAGTCTGTGACTTTTTAACAATGCTAAATGTAACTTAGCAAGCATGCGTTTTGTTGTGGTTGATATACGTCATAATCGTACTGGAACAAATAAAACTATTATTCTTCTGTATGAAAGTTTCAAGAATTATCCTTAAGCCAATTCTCCGTGTGGGTTTGCCATTTCTTTCTATTTTTCTTAACAATTATGTTTTTCAGTTCAAAAACACTGGAACAAATGATTGCAAGCCAATTGATTGTTGGCATGTCCAGTGTTTTTATCAAAATTTTGATTTGGATATTGAACTTATTTTATTGTCCTTTTCTTTGTGTCATGTTCAGGAATTTTTATTTTATCCAGTGAACGTACGCTCCTCTACGTTCGGTTCTAGGCAAAAAAAGCGCAATACCGAGTACCGAGTACCGAGTTGTACCGAGTTTTTTGAAAAAACTCGGTATTGCGCTGTTTTGGTCTAAAACCGAACGTAGAGGAGCGTACGTTCACTGGATGTAATAAAAGTTCAATAACTAGATGATTAGAATTCTTTTTGAAACAAAAAAAATGCCTTAATGTTCAGAGGTAATTTTTGTGTCATGTCCTTTTCTTTGTGTCATGTCCTTTTCTTTGTGTCATGACACAAAACTTTTATTACATCCAGTAAACGCCTTAATGTTATCATCAAAAAATTACCTCTGAACATGATACAAAGAAAAGGACATGACAAAAAAAACGCCTTAATGTTCAGAGGTAATTTTTTGATGATTAGAATTCCTTTTGAAACAACTAATAACATAATTTTTTTATTCATTTTTTTCACTCAGGCAGGTCTTGTTATCTACTCAATACGAGAAACTATATATATATATATATATCTTAAAGTCTCAATATATATATATATATATATATATATATATCTTAAAGTCACTTCACATGTCATCAAATTGATCTCATCCACGTGATAAAAAGAACTTCCAGCACCTATATATGGCAATATTAGCTTACAAAGCCAATATGTCATACGTCAGTAAAATGTCTCTTCCACTTCAGTCTGTATTACATGTTATTTGGTCATCCAATGTTCTCTTTCCATAAAACAGCAAATGTGACGCTCTTTTGACATGATACCATCATTTTGTTTCAGGTAATGTTGGTCAAGATCATGCAGTTTTCGAGCAAGGCGCATCGGCTGGCAATGTTGGTAATGCGAAATTGGTGGAACAGAAGAAGGCAAATCCTGTTGCTCTTCTTCTCTCATCTGCGATGATGCTGAGACATCTCCAGTTCCCTTCGTTTGCGGATCGACTTGAAACTGCTGTTAAACGAGTGATCGAAGAAGGTAAATACAGAACTAAAGATCTCGGTGGTACTAGCACCACCCAGGAAGTTGTTGATGCAGTAATATCACGACTGGATTGATCCATTACAATCCTATTTGTACATGTTTTTTAATTTTTTTTTAAGACTTAATATTCTCACTTTTTATGTTACTCCATTTAAATTAGTCTAATGTATGCCAATGAAAGGATCCACTTCCTGAACATAAACGTTTTTTTTTTCTGGTCCATTTTTTAACAATAATTGAATTGTGGATCTCAATGTATTTGGGTTGTAATTTCTCAGGATAAATGAGCATGATTTATTTAGTTTGGGAAATCAACCGATAGATTTTCACCTGCTATTCAGCTGGGGAATATGAGTTGCGTTTGCTAGTTAACTTGCTGTTGATTGCCATTTCCTCCTGTAACGCTAAGTTTTATAAAAGTAATTATGTGTTTTATCTATGTAAATGCTACGTATCTTTTTAATAATTCATGATGATTTTAGTTGAAATTAAAAAAAGAAAAATTTCACTGTAGATTTCCTATATAATGTGCGAAATATTCTTTTTTTTTTGTTTGAAAACAATGCAAATAGCAATTTTATTAATAAAGAAAAAAAGACAAACTCAATGATAGTTATTCTATCAAAATCTTCCTTTATTAAAGAGATAAAAGAGGAAGGAATATATTTATAAAAAAAAGTCCCAAAAGAAACTCTCTCTCAAAGGATAGTTGCATAAAATTCTGTAATGTTATTTTCCTCTCTAGAAATATAATGAAATATAATATGCTTAAAATCATATAAAAAGGAAAAATCTAATGAGGTAGAATTAACTAAGCTGGAAATGAGCATTCAACAATTTGTGCAAGAATTTGATAACATTAATGTTATTTCCTTCGATCTAAATGGTGTCAAATTTTGTCATACGTCTTCTAAAACTTTTTCTAGAGAAAGAATCACTATGAATTTTAGTTGAGCAACATCCAAATGATATAATTGTTTTCCAAAACAAATAAAAATCTTCCATTGTCATAACGAATAACTCCAATTCCATCATAATTTGAGCTTAGCAATGAAGCATCTACATTTACTTTAATCCATTTTGAAGGAGATGGATGCCAAAAATTGCAATTCAGCTCATTGAACTAATTAACACCCCAATAATCCAAAATAGGATTTAAATATGACTTGATTGATGTAGATAAAACTTCAACTGATAAAAATGTGGATGATTATGATGGTTTACCATGATTGATAGCTTTTCTATCCTTCCAACAATAATAAACCAAAGAACAATAAATTCTGGCCAAAACCTTATTTTTGATGGAAAAATAATTAAGTTGCTTACACAAACCTAAAACAGATTGAAAGATTGGGATTGGAACTACCCAATTATTTAAAACAAAGAAGTTTTCTTTTAATTTTTTACAAGAAACCGAACTGTGATGAATATTTTCTTCCAAAAGACATCCTCTTGGACATAGATATGAATCTAGTAATCTCCTATGCTTGAGCCAAGTATTCGTTGGAAGAGCAACTTTTTTAAGCCTCCACCAAAAGAAGAAAATTATGAGATGCATATTTAACTTCTTCAGCCATTTGATATCATTTGTAGCAAACAACTTGTATATTTCCTCAAAAGGCTAATGCAGAAATTGATTTTACTAAAAATTGGTGAATTAACTAAATTTCATCTTCAAATTGGTTAGAACAGAACTGAATTTTGTTGATAATATCAATCAAATATTCTCCAAACGATTCATATAAAGTAGTTGAATTCCAATTTCTATTTTCTGATAATAACTTGCAATAGAAATTCTTCAAAGACGTTAATATTAACAAATGTTGGCCATTTACAAATCGGTTTATCTCCAATCCAAATATCATTTAAAATGCTGAAGCAATTTCCTTTTCCAATTCTCCATCTTACTATGAGCTTCAAATGATTTGCTCCATCTAAAAGTATCTTACAAGTAGCCGAATTACCCTTTCGAAATGAAGTCCAAATATTGCTCCCATATTTGGATTTAATTGTTCTGCTTAGAAGGGAATCAAGTTTTTGAATAAACTTCAAAGCAAGCTTTGCTCTTAGAGGTCCTTCCCAAATAGAAGCTGGATGAAAACCAAGGCCACCATTTCTGCTCGGAAGACATAGTTCATTCCAATTAATGTAATGCATTCTTTGTTTTCCATTATCTTTATGCCACAAGAAGTTTTTGCAAATCTTATCAAGATTATGAAGTATTTCTTTAGGAACTAAGGAATGAGTAATAACATATGATGGCAGATAAAGAAGAGAAGAATTGATTAAAGTAACTCTTCCAGTTAGAGATAAAAATTTGCTTCCCCTTGAATTGAGTTTATCAACTCAATGCTTAATTAGATTCTGGAAATCTGAAATAGTTTTTCTTTCTTAACACAAAATGAAGTCCAAGATAATTTAATTCTTGAATACATCTGAAACCACTTTGATTTGAAATATTTCTTTTCTTTCTACTATACATCTTCTTGGAACAAAATGTCATGGATTTGCTAAAGTTAACTTTTTGACCAGTCCATGAATAATACTTTGATAAAATGCTTTTAATAAACTCCAAATAATGAAAGTTAGCTTCGACAAATATTAAGACATCATCTGAAAAGAGTAGATGAGAAATCCTTTCTGCATTGTGAGATATTTTAATACCAAGATTCATGGAATTTTGTTGAAATGCTATGGATAGAAGTTCTGAACAAAGAATGAAAAGAAAAGGAGAGAAGTACAATCTTGCCTAAAAGCACATTCAGCTGAAATCCAGTCAGTAAGATGTCCATTACTCAAAACAGTGAATCTAGGTAAACATACATATTGCATTACACAGTTTATGAATTTGTTTGGAAAATTCATAGTAAGCATAAGATGCTTCAAAGTTTGCCAATTCATACTATCAGATGTTTGCTCCATGTCTACTTTTAAAGTAATAAAACCATTCTTGAAAGTATAGAAATGAAATTTATGAAAAAAATTTTGGGCTAAAAGAAAATGGTTTGAAATTGATCTATCTGGAACATAAGCAACTTGCTCTTCAGAAATTAGAGATTGAATCTATTTAGAATCATATTTGCAACAATCTTATATTTGGCTTGGAAAAGACTAATGGGTCTAAATTTTGATGGCTAATAAGCATTATCAACTTTGGGATTGAGAATAACAAGTTTATCTTTCCAATTAGTAGGCATGTAAAACTGTTCGAGGTAGAATTCCAGTTGAAGAAAGTATTTCTTTATCTTGAGGAGTGGAGCGGAGCGAGCAGAGCAGAGCGGTTTTGACGGAACGTAGGCGATCAGTGGTTCTCCATCGGCCTTGTATGGCCGACGGAGGTCCTTGGTGCATCTCTGTCGTTCTTGATAGAGAGAAGAACTGGTTGAGCGGAGAAGAGTGGAGATAGATCTCGACGCTCTTGGAGATTTTGTCAGATCATTATGATCTTGGAGTATTGGCAATGCTTTGGAGTCCAAAAGATCTCCATCTGCCTGAGGTTCATATAATGTCAGAAAGAAGAGCGGTTCTGACGGAACTTATGCGAACGGTGAAGCTCCGTTGTCCTTGTATGGCCATTGAATTTCATTGGTGCGTCTATGTCGTTCTTGAAGGAAAGAAGAACAGAATGAGAGGTGAAGAGTGGTGAAAGATGTTGGCGCTCTTGGTGATTTTGTCTGATCATTAAAATTTTGGTGTTTTTGTGATGCTTTGGATTTAAGTTGATTTATATTGGCCTAAAGATCTCCTTCCGCTTGTTTTTGTGAAGGTGATCAATTTGAATTTGATTTTGGCGGAACAATTTCTGAGGCGAGATGATTTTGGCTTTTTGTCGATTTTGGCAAAATGATCTTGGAAATACTTAGTAGTTTGAATCGCGAAGGTTTTTTGATGAGGATATTGATCAAGTCCAATTCGGCACCTGTTTTCTTAAAAGTTTTTGGTGAAAGTTCTGAGGCAATCCTAGATGTGATTACTTGTTCTATTTTTGTTTTGGATTGTCCTAGTGGCATTGCTGGGGAAAATTTCTTGTTTATGAATGTTAACTGGAGTTCGGGATTGCTTGGATTTATGGATTTTCTTGATTCCATAAATGGGCCTAATGAATTTGGAGCAGTTGTTTTTTGCTTTGTCAACTTTAGCTGGAACGTCAAAATGGTTTGCCCATGGATCAATCAGGTTGAGGAAGTTGTTGGTTTATATTTTTAATGACAAATTGGTTGTTTGGTCACTTTTTTTTCAGTTGCTCCTTGAAGATCAAATCTTCTTGGTTAAAGATTTGAAGGATTTGAAGTTTTTTGGTTTTGCTCTCGTTAATGTGAAGAGAGTGGTCATGATTATCAGTTCGGTTGTCTTTGGCATTGATGAGGTCGGATATTGGCTTCTTGAGATGGTTGTCGGTATTATGGCTTTAAATTGGAAGATTAATGGTATTGTTCTTTCCAGTATGATGGATATGGGGGTGATTTTTAGTCTGCATGACTTTGCTTATGTAGAGGCTGACTCTGGGACTATTGAGGAGACAGTTGGTGTTTTTGCTTTGTCGTTGCTGATTGGTTCGTTCTTGGTGGATGTTGTTGGTTGTGTTAATGAAACATCAGAGATTTCTACTCTTGATTGGAGATTGTAGAACCCTAAGATTGATGGGGTTTTGGTTGATGATTGGATAGCTGGTTTAGTAGTTGTGTTTGTTTTTCTTAAAACTTGTTATTTTTTGCATGTTTTGCTGATAGGTTTCTTATACATTTTTAAAATCATTATGATGAAATATGTGATTTTTACTAGGTTTCATTTTCCATCTTTTGGGAAAGCTGGGATACTAACCAACCTTATAGGTTGTTTTATTATTTGGTATCTCCATCACTCCAATGGATCTAAAATGGAACTTAGTGAATCACATATCCATTATGATAGTTTTAAAGGGTTGCTTTTGCTTTCTAGTTTGTATTAGGTTTTTCTTCTTTTAATGCAATTAGCATTTCTACAACAAAAAAAAAAGTAGGCATGCCACTTGATTGAAAAAAGTTGTTGAAAATATTCCAAACATCTACTTTGATAAGTTCCCAATAGAATGTAAATAATGCAGGAGAAATACCATCTAAACTAGGAGATTTGTTTATACCCATTTGGAAGATTGCAGTTTTAAGCTCCTATATAGAAAAATTAGCTTCTAGTAATTGATGATAAAGAGTTTAATTTATCCTCATCACAAAGAAATGGCCAATCATTAGGTGAGCATTGCCTATTTCTTAATTTATCACTGAAAAACTGAGAAAATGTATTAGAAATAAAAATTAGATCTTAATATATCAATCCATTAGGCA